GATTCTAGCCCAGGTAAAATGTTTAAGGTTGACAAAGGCTCTTTTGGTATGCAAAGGGTTATACAACTAGTGGTGGTAGAACTGTTGGGAAACCAAGGTAAATTCTCCACTTTTTACATCCTCTGTGTTAGTTAGCTGCTTTCCACAGAAGAGAAGGAAGTTCTCATCTCCAGCAGTGATGGACTTTATTCTAGTTCAGTATGTTAATAACCAAATTCAAAGAATTTATGTCACCATAGGCAGAGTGCTTTCCTAGATGACTGAAAGCCTGCTGATGTTCACTGCAGCAATTCAGAAATCTTTCTACCATGGCACTACATTTGAGTGGCCTCCAAGCAGGCTTGATTATAACAACACTTACAGGAAACCAGTAGCAATCTGTATGTTTCAGATGCTTTTAATCTACCTGTTGTTGCAACTTTATAAAAACCACAACCAAACAAAAAAATCTCCAAATGGACCCAAATCAGCCTTGAATGAAAAACATCATTTGGTCGAGGTCAGACTTTTAAAAACACTGTTTTTGATGATTTGTGCCCAGATGCATATTTTCATACTCCAGAATGGCCAGGTAGAGAAAAGGCAACATTCAGAATCAAGCCAATTAAAATGTTGCCTACTTTCTGCTGAAAAAATCCAGGAGACTTTTCTAATGCATGACATTAGAAAATATATTCATGTTATGCTGTCCTTGAAGAAAGACTTCTTTTGGGGATTGGTGAATATGGCTGCAGTATTCCTCACCGTGGGACAGACATCCTTAGGGAAGCAAACCTAAAAGAGTGCTCACCAAGTCTTTGCTTAGAAGAGCTTGGGTTTTGCTTGGTATGTGTGAAGGCTTTGAAAGGTGCTTATTAAAGCCTCACCTCTGCCACACATTCACAGCAAGGTCACACAATGCAGGCCTCTGGCATTTCATCATTAGCTTACTAGAACTACTTATCTGCAGGTACATAATTGACAGACCTGGAGGTTTTGCATTCCTCCACCCTGTCTTAATACTGTTTAGGACACTGTGTTCCAAAACAGATCACAACTGCTTGGGATGAGGACTAGGACACTTGTAACAAGTATGGTCCCCTAAGCTCTCTGCAGTCTGGGAGTTCTTCATCTTGTTCCAATTTACACGAACTATTGTGTCACACCTGTTTAAGATTTCACTGTATAAATACTTGGGTAATGAATCAATACACTTCTATGGTAGAATTTAACTAGCAGAGGTGCTTGATGCTACTCTTACAATGGAAATTGCCTAAGGCCAGAAGCTGTGGTAACTTTAGTCATCTCATTAATGGCATTATGAAAGTTGTGAATATTTCCCAAAATCCCATGGTATGGGCATTTGAAGAAAAAAATTTTTGACAAAACAAAACAAACAAACAAAATAGAAAAGGAAAGGTCAGTTCAACTGCAAATCCATGAAATAGAAAAGGGACACCATAATTTTTTGTATCTTAAAGTATCCCATTACAGTGACTGAGTATTGTGCCTTTTTGGAGTTCTGTCTTCCAGAGCAAGATGATTAAATCATTGGCTGCACTCATGCACTATAGCCCAGCTTTTATAAAACTGAACTACATAGAATTTGAATCCTGCAACTCTAAAACCTATAGCATTTTAACATTATCTTCTTGTAAGTCCTCCTGAAATAGACAACATGCCAAAGAAAACAGCACCTAAGAACCTACCTCTTTACCAAAAGTTATCCTGCCCAGATGCTCAACTGAAATAGCCAGATTGAGGAATAATGCTGGGAACTCTTCTGAAATATCCAAGTGTAGTGTTTACTGAATATTCATGAGAGGCTTTGGTATTTGGGTCATCTCAATGCTTTAATCTTCTGGTCCTGTGTCATTATTTCACTATACACACTCACTCTATTTGTGCTTTGTCTAATGCCATGGCCCTTTAACGCTGCTGCTTGTAAAACCCTCATTTTGTTCTAAATTTGACTGTAACTGGGCCCATTCTCTGTGACTTTTATGAGAAGACTTATAAATCACTTGTGTCTTAAACTGTTATTCTTTAGCTATCATTATTCCTGCTTTCAGGATGCTAAGGTGTTGTTAAGAACACATTTATATTCTGTATGAACTGTCTTAACTCGTGAGTGAGTCACAAAAAAAAGTTTGCATTAAGAAAGCAAAAATTCTAGTTCTTCTTGTATTGTTGTGATTGGGCTTTAAAATACCTTATTTGGATACTTTGAAAGGGAAATAAATAAATATGATGGGTTTTAACTGCTCATTCTTTGACAATCTGAGGGTCAGTTTTGTTCATCTTCTGAACAGAATAAAAACTGGCCTCTGGGTTTTTAGGTCCATGACTCTGCTGAAAGAATTGTGCTGCCATTTAGCACGAATGTACATGTAAGAAGTAACCTGCTGTCTCAGAATTCTTCCTGCAGTTATGGTCAGATGCTCTCTGCCAAACCCTTTGTGATGGCTGGATTCACTCGCTAAAAGGAATCCTGCAAGCACTCACATAATGATCATTTTAAGTGCTGCTCTTCAGATTACCTTTCTGTTCATTGCTGTTTCCCCTTCCATAAGTCTGGAAGTGCACTCAGTGGTATTTGCAGTGGAACTCGGTCTCTCCCTGTCCTTGAGAGCAGCACTGGGCATCAGCAGCTGCTGGTTTTGGCAGGAGTGTCCCTCCTTCTTAGCCTCTGTATTGAACTGCCTGTATGGCAGTGAATGAGAGCAATTGAGATGAGAATGATTCAATGTCTGTCTTACCCATTATTCTCTGCTGCAAGGTCCTATTCCAAGTATTTTACATCATTACAAGGAAAACCAACATCCAAACAAACACAACAATTGACAGTTAAACTAAACTTTTGTTTTCTTAACTGATTTCTGCACAAGACATGTCTTCCTTGTGGGAGCCTACAAAGGATATCCTTGCCCATTGTTTTAAGCTTTCATATTATGTGAGAAGCTTTACATTTCTCTGGATAAATTAATTTTAGGTAAAATACTGATTTTTTTTATTAACATGTTTAGTTGATAATGATGCTTAATTAGGTGAGACCTGCACTGCAAATTGGCCTGTAAATTTCTGCTTTCTTCACATGTGGATTAAAATTAAGCTTTCTGGTTTTATACTAAGTGTTTTTTTTAAGCTGAAAACAATAGTCAAAAGGAGTAAACAAATGTGGTATTGTTCCAGTACTCTGTTTCCCCATCACATGATATTCTAAAAATACAGAAGTACCTAAAACTACTTTAGATGTCAAAGAATTTATGTAAAATGGAGTTCTTCAAATTTATCTACAAAGCTCCTCTGAAGAACTTTCTTTAATTAGCTGTATAGATTTTGAAGAGTTTGTGATTCTCTTGCAGCAGAGTCTGAGCCAGACAGGCCAACACCTTACAAAGAGGAAAACATTTCTAATGTACTTTCCACAGAAGTATAGAATATGGACAAAAATTAATGCGGTGTTGATTAATCAAAGCCAAGGGAAGGAGGATCCTGTGGGGCCAGCAACACAACCTGACGTGCTTCCAGCCTTCTCTAGGATTGCCACAGGCCACTTTTCTCTCCTCTGCTGCTTCTGCTCCCTGACAGTCAGTAAATTTCCCTTTAGGAGGGGTGTGCTGGTCAGAGTTACACTGTCAGCAGGACACTGAATTCCCACTCGCAGTTGCTTCCTCTCAGGCCACACAGCCCTGGCCACATGATTTGGTGCCATAAGGGACTTTCCTGTGATCACAGGAGGATGAGCTAACTGCCTCACTGCCCTCTCCCAGGGAGGGATTAGGATTTGATCCAAAACCAACAGAAGTCTGTGGACAGAATCTCATTGACCAACACTGGTTTTAAATCAGACTCTATAAATAGAGAAATTTGCATGAATTTTGATCAACTGAAACAACTGCTCTCTCTCCAAGTTTCCACCTTGCATCCAGCAGAACCATCAACCTTCAGTGGGAATGCGTATGCTATGGGCCTAGCAGGAGCACAGTTGTGAGGTTTTCACACAATTAAAGGCATGCAGAGCTTTTGTCATTTTCTAGCCCAGCCTCCTGCTAAAGCAGGACTGCTGGCAGTGCTGGGTCAGCTCAGCCATGGCTTTGTTTAGCTAAGTTAAAGGACCTTTAAAGGATGGAGCCTCTAAAACCTGAGTGCCTCATAAAGAACTGCATTACTCACCTGGTGATTGTTTTTTTTTTCTACCATCTGGCTTGAACTTCTGAAGTTGAGACACCTGCCTATGCCACTGGTGGTTATCTGCCACTATGGAGAAGATTTTGTCTCTGTCCTCATAAGTGACTTTCAAATAGCTGTAGGGTTCTAACTGCTACCCCCCCAGCCTGCTGCAGGCAGGCAAGGCTGGCCCTCTCAGCCTCTGTGGTAAGGTTTGTGCCCCAGGGCCCATCTCGGTAGCTGTGCATTGTGTCCTCTCCAGTTTGTCAACATTTTCTTTGAACTGAGGGCCCTAAAGCTGATTCCAGTATTTCAGCAGCAGCCTCACCATTTCTGGGCACTGAGGCACCGTGACTTATCTCACTTTCCTGACTGCATTTCTAATGCAGCCCAGCATGTAATTTTCTCCTTTTGTAATAGGAGCACACTCCTGGCTCATGACCAGCTTGACTTTCACCCTAACCCCTACATCCTCTTTGGGAGGGCTGTCTGACAACCCATTGAACCTGACTTCTCTGTAACACCACATCACCCTGTGCCTGCCCACCCTCCTACCAGAAACCCAGCATTGATTTCCTGCTTTAAGATCAACTTGGCTTAAAAAGTTTACAGGGTTTTGAACTTGTGCTGCCAGCTTGACCCACTGCAGAGATCAGTATCAGCTGTGCAGTTTGAGCACAGCTCCACATAATTCTGTACCTGGGCTGTATCCAATAATGGTATTTTATATTGTTATATACTTTTCCCTCTTGGTATTCCTTGATGTGGAAGAAGTAGCTGTCCAACCTCTGTCTCTGTAATCGCTGTTATCTGCAGCCACTAAAGAGTTACAGTTTGTGTATGTGACCAGGAAATGTTAAGTGTTTGCAGGCAGCCAATAAAGAAGAGATCAGCAGCCCGACTGACTCACCGGCAGGAAATCTGGAGCTGCGTCTGGATCAGCTCAGAGCCGACTCACGCCTGGGACCGCGGCAGTTTCACTCCATCATTCCATCGGTTCATGTTTCTGTTTCCAGAGGTAAGTTGATTTTTATTTCCAGTTTCTTTCCCTGAGACATCTGCATTTTCTTTCATAGTAAGGAAATGTCTTTGCAATGAATTAATTTTTTAAAATTACCTTATAATTAGAAACTTGAAATAAATGGCTTTATAGCAGTCTTCGTGCCTCTGCCTGCACAGGTGGGCAAGTATGGCAAAGTTATACAAGACTTTTAGTGTCTTACTAAAAAAATAATGTCAACCGTTTCCTTGCATAGATCACCTCTGGAATATTGATTTTGGGGGTTGATAATAAAACTTTTAATAGATATGGGAGAAAAAGTATTCAAAAGAGCAGAATTATTGAAAAAAATATCTTGGTACCTTGCAATACGAAGATGTAGAAACTCAGACACGGGGAGAATGGTGCTTAGCATGTCATGACATGATTTGTAACAATAAAGATTGAAGTACTTTCTGTTTTGATTTTAAAAATCTCCAGTTTTATTAGGTTTTGCAAATCCAAAATAGGAGCTGATGACAGCTTTAATTTTTGTCTAAGTAGTCAGTTAGCAAGAGTTTAAAAAATGTTTATATTATTACTTGATTCAATTTTAAATAAAAATAAATACTTTAAGGTGGTTTAGGTAGTAAAACCATTATTTGGTCTTCCTTGAACTATGGTTGGAGTTGAGTAAATTTTTTTGCATATTTAAATTATTAATTATTGCTGTATAGAATAAAAATGAGACATAATTTTGCTTCTGCCAGCATTTTGATTACCTCCTTTGCATTCAGGATTGGTACATTTGTGAGGTCTGTCTTTGCAACTTTAAGGAATAAATCACTCATTTAGAAAATTACCTTCCTTCAGAGAAACCATTTCAAATTTTATTAAATTTTTAACCTGTCAGCCTCATCTCTTAAGGAAACTTCAGAGAAGCACCCAAGGCAGTTATTGATTTAAAACTACAATAATCTAACAAAAAAGCCAGAAGTTCAACTGTGCTTTCCTACCAGAATCATATATAGTTAAAGCTCAACTGGTAAATCAGCTGCTGCTTTTTGCATTTTGATTCTTGTTAGAGGCAAAACTGAGCTTATATTGTGAATGTGCCTGCAGGACAAGACTGAGATTAACCAACAATAAAATGTTCATTAACTAGAAGCAATATCACAAGCAAATTTATCTTCAGGCTTTTGTCAATTTTGCTTGTGGAGAAAAAGTTATCTGGGCTTTGAGGCCTTCTGCATGCCAGGAGTTCTTTTTGTAGAGCACACCTCAAAGGACACAATTCTCTCTCAACAATCCTTCACAGTTACTTCAGTCCCCTCATTGGTTCCTTTTCTAGCCCTGGTCTGCTGGACCCCAGAGGGAATATTCCAGCTGAGGAGTTGTGACTGCTGACCAGTGGTCGGCAGTAATTCATACCAGTGCCAGCTGGTTAATGCCATCTGTTATCTCAGACTGCTTGTTTTCCTCCTCTACCACTCGCTTTTTGGCTATCTCCAGTCTAATGGAGCTTCACAGATGTAATTAGAAGTGTTACTCATGCAGTAACACAGTGATGCTTTGCAGAAGTTGTTTCTAATCCATGTGTGTGTTGCCATGCAAAGGGCCTGAGAAGCGCAGCTGGCCCCAGAGAGGTCCTGCACAGACACTGCACTGCCCAAATTACTGGCAGCTACAAAGACACAACTCCACTTAGCAGAATTCGGACAGGTCACAACAGCAGGAAATGTTCCTTTTTCTTTGCTTTTGTATTTACATATGATTTATTAAAGATTATATGCAAGAATGATGCAGAATGTGCTGTCATCAGTTATTGAATAATTGCCTTTTTTATGAAAAGTGGAGAAATTATTTGCCTGATATGCAACTGTAAGATGCTAGTTTGTTGTCTACATAATTCATATCACGTTAAAATCACTTTTCATATTATAAATACTGGTCTACTATTTTAGAGGCATCAGATAGAAATAATGATGAGCAATTAATTAACACCTTGCAGCTTCAGATGGCAAATTATGGTCCAGACACTCCTTTGCAATCAGTGCATTTTTCCTCTCTTTGTAAGGAAAGTCTGACACAGAGGGGTGAAAAGAAGGTTGTTGGATTTGTTATTTGGGAAGTAAGGGGTGGTGCAACTTCACTGTGCTTTGGTAATTGTGACAAAAAGACCTCTTAAATTTTTTTCTTTTCTGCCACATTTTTTCCCCAAGCCAGCCATCAAGAAATGGCCAATCCATTACCTGTGGTAGGCCAGGAAGATTTGGAAAGCTTTACCTTGACCAGGACAGGCTCAGGCTTTGCACTCAAAGCCTTTCATATTTCCTGGAACACTCCCATCTCTGTGAAGCTGCTGGCCAGCCAGGACACTACAGACAGGTATGTGTCTTATCTGCCCAACCCACCACACAGGTGGGCAGCACAGACCTGCAGTGCTGGCACCAGAACAAATCCTGGCATCTCCAGGAGCACCTGATCCCTAAGCACATCTCTATTCCTGAAAGGGAGAAATCCTGGCCAGCCAAGAGGCAGCCTGGAGGCAATTTTACTGACAAACAAGCTCAATAATTTGGATTTATTGTTAAAATAATACTAGCTTGTGCTCAGCCATAGGGTTCTCTCTCATTTCCACATCCTACACTCCTGCTGAAGTTCCCTTCAGTCTAACCTGCCTTTGACTTTTTTTTTTTCAGGGAGTGGAAGTTGCTACTTCAGGACATAGCAAGTGTCAGATGCTACGAGTCTGAACATCTCCTGCCTTTGCTTGGGATTTACCAGTGCCATGGACTTGTGGGGATAGTGACTGAATGGATGAACAATGGATCCCTCCACTCCCTCATCCATGAGGTAGATAAACAATGTCATCGTTGAGGTGATAAAATTAGTTATAAGATCAAAGAACAATGTAAATTATGGACAGTAGTCCATATCTGTTCCATAACAGTTTCCAATCTGTTCTTCAGCTTCTGCATTGTGCTTCTGTATTGTGGTTGTTTGTTGTCAAATGAAAATGGGAATAGCAACAACTTCACAGTACCAAAACCTGTATTTTGTGTTACATAGCATCAGCTGTACCCAGAGCTTCCCTTTCCCTTACTCATAAGGATCCTGTCGGATGTGGCTGAAGGGCTGCATCATCTTCACAGCCTCGAAGCTGCTCTCTGCCACTGCAGCCTGAAACCTTCCAATGTGCTTTTGGATGTGCAGTACAGAGCCAAGGTAGGAGCTGCTACTTTTAGTCCATTAACATAGAATCCAGTGATTGTCCTATTGTTGCATATATTGAGCTTAATAGACAACATTTCATACCAAGACATGTTCTATTATTACTAAAATTACTTTTGCTTGCATTTCCGTAGATATCAGATTATGGCCTAACCAACTGGAAGAAACAGCAACTGAGGTCAGACCTGCAGAATTGCCAGCAGAGAAACTGCCAGGATTTAGTGTATCTTCCCCCTGAAATACTTGAAGGAGGCCTCCCTTCCCAGAAAGGTGATATTTACAGGTGAATGGAGTTTCTAAGGGCATGTCATACCCGGTCCATGCTGCACTCTACAATGCTGCCAAAACGCTTATAACACTTATCTTCAAAAACATTACAGTAAGAATGCCAGACATACATAATGCAGTAGGATAGTATGGGATGAGGCCAACTACAGCAGTGAATTATATTGTAAATTCCCATATTTGGTGATTCAGATACCAAGATTAAGAACTGTTCTCAAAGTAAGTCATAAAAATGTTTATATAATGGACCTAAATGTTTTAAAAGTCTAACAGCTGCCAAAACTTTCAGCTATTTTTAGAAGCCTCATAACTGCTTCACATAGTTTATAAGTGTGAGCTGTTGTCAGCTTTAGTTTCAGAAAAAATTGTTTATGCCTAGATCAGGCCAGGTAAAAATAAGACTTTTCCCTCAATAGTGTTCCATTAAGATCCTGTGGAATCACTGCTGGGATAGGTTGCTGAGATACTGAAGCATTTTTACTTTTTAACAAAGTGATTTTTACCAAGGAGGGAGATTACTCACTGCCACATGTCCCTTTTGGGTTTGTGACATGCACTGTGGCTGTCTCAATAAATGAGAGGACCTCAAGGTGCCACTGGTCTGGATGGACACACAGTCATGGCCAGCACTCAGAGCTGTGGGCTAATATTTTAGATAACTTCCAAGGAGCCCACTCTTCTGATTTCTGAGCTTGTGTGAAACCTATAAATTTAAAATCCTGCTTTATTGTCATAGAGGCAGGCTCTAAGATGAGTCAAATAATGCATACACTTGAGGAGACCTATAAATGACTAACCTCATGTTGTTCACAAATGCAAGTTTTGCACAGGAAGAGTGAAGCCTTGCTTTCAGATAGCATAAATAATTTTCGAAAATTGCATTCATATATATGATTTAATGTATACCTTTATTATATAATACATTATATAGTAATATGCTGAGATGTGGCTGAGATGCATGAGATACAGGTGCATCTAAACAGTGATGCAACAAAGCAAAAATTTGTTGTCATACATGAAATACAAAGTACATTTAAGTTACATGTATGTCCACATTACATTAATACTTTCCAGATTCTCATGTGAAAGTAAGGCAGAAGAGGAGGCTCTTTTAACCACTGTAAGCTGTAATCACTACAGCAAGATATATAAAAAAGCAGATATGTTTATCCTAGAACTGCCTCTTCCTCTTTTGATTGCTTGGCTTCTTATCTGTAGACTATTTTTTCTCATCTAGCAGCCTCCTTTTTTCTGCCTCTGATTACTGATCTTTTTTATAGCACTGTATTTTATAGCATCTGAGTTGTGGGTTATATATATAGATCTATGATCCCACTGCAATTACTCCTAGGATGCTGGAAAAAGGTATTTGGAGCCCCATCAAAATTTGCTGAAGAAAATAGAAACATAGTGCATCAGAACCAAGTTTTTGTACGTTAACTGATGTGCTTGTTGGTACCTGCTGAAAACTCCAGTTTGATACTGAAATTACCTGAAAACAAACCAGTAATGATAGAGAAAGGAGAACAGAACTCGATGATTTTATAAGAGCAACTCAATTGAAAACTCAAAAAAGGTCTCATCAAATTAGAAAATACTTGGATAGACTTCATCTTGAAAATCTCCTTTCCCTTAAGCAATAAACTTGCATTTGAAGCTGAGAACATAGATACAGATTGCAAACTAATGATGGTCTTTCACCGTTTTCTTGTTTTTTGGTTTTTTTTCAGTTTTGGAATCCTGTGTTGGGAGAGCCTCAGCAGACGGAAACCTTTCGAAGGTATTTATTTTTTCATTTCAGACTTTGTGCTGTCCATATCTTGTCCACAAATTCCCTTTTCATAGTGAAATTATGATACAAACAGTCCTTTCAGATGTCCCTTTGCCTTCTCTTACTGTTACAGCACAAAGCTTCACATTAGAGGATGTAAATACAATTCCTCACCAAATCCTAAATGTTTCCAAAGAAACTGCTCTTTCTGAAGGGAAAAGGCAGACCCTCTTTCCCCACTGGTATCATCAATCTGTGCTTGCTGAAGCGCTGCCACTGAGTTGGTTTTCCATGGACCATCAGTGAGAAGGAATACCACTTCATATTTGTCAGCTGGAGTTTTAAAATCAGTGACAAGTAGCTAATTGAATGAGCAGAATACTTATATTTACAGTTGCTGTGAGTTTCAAATACCAATCCAAATATGTCAGTTCATGATGAATTATATCAAGGAATCAGGGAATCTTGCTTTCTTAGATGAAAGTGTGAGCGGTTTTAGAGAAGTTTGCAAAGCATTATATAATAATTGTCACTGTCTAGGAACAATCCCTGTTTCATGGAAGTGGAGATCAGTAAGGGCTTCTTTGCTATGGGCTTCATTCTGCATGGCAAAACTTATTGAAGGACTCCTGTATTTTACAGACTGAGGGCCTTCAAAAAATACTGCATGGAATAATATCTAAATGCCCATACAGCTTATGGCTGCCATCTTGAGGCTGCTCAAAGTAGATTTCTTTTTTTTACAATTCTTTTGTTCTGTTCTCCTAATGCAAGTGTAAAGTTTTATATAAAACTCGGCTTAAAATAATAGCATGTATTCCTGAGGGATCTGCGTGTGTAGCTTACAGTACAAGCTTACATAACCATTTGTGACTCAGTTTTGGACAGAGTTCTTTATCCTGAAAGGTCATGTTGCAATAAGCAGCTATAGCCTGTTAAAGGCTAGCATATCTACTCTACAAGAGCATTAATATATTTTTCCTTTTAAAAAAGCAGTCTTTGTTTTAAGATACACAATATAACTTACATTTGATGTCATTTTAAGAGGTCTCTAATGTTTTTTGGCAGTAATATTTTTTTTTTTAATTGTAGGTCAAACAAACCTGCTTGATGTTTTGAGAGGAATCTGCAGCAGCTTGCGGCCAGGCATTTCAGAAAAGTTCATACCAAGCAATTTGCCTGAGAGGAATAGACTATTAAACCTCATTGCTCTGTGCTGGCATCAAGAACCAGATTATAGACCACATACTGCAGGTAACACTCAGGATTTCCTGCTGTGCAAGATCTGTTATGGAGACAGTCTTTATAGGAACATTGCTTTAGCACTCTGAACAACTGAAGTGGAAATAGTCTTTATATCACTGGACTACCTTTGATGTTTCCTCCAAATGAAGCTTCCTACCAGATTGAATTATTTATCTCCAAAATTTTGTTTACTATAAAGTAGAGGTGGAATTTGTATTAAAATTATTTCCTCTAGTTCTTCTTTTTTCTTAATATAATAGTAAAGTTAGTAACATTATGATGATGCCTAAATGTATACATGATTTCATATACAATGTGGTACTTAAAATGCTTTATTACCCCTGCAGAATGTGTACATCTTCTAAATGGAGTTTTGAGTAGTTTAAATAAGGAAGTAATTTCTGCAGCAATCTACAATTTGATGGATGCAAAGGTCAGTGCAAAATGTCTTGTTCTCCTATAACATTATTTCATTAATTCAATTGCAATCTTTCTGACCCAACAGTGAAGGTTTTGTCTTGATTGTTTTACTGGACATGCCAGAGAGCTGGAGAGGGCCCTTTGGCATTTCAGGTTCATTCAGAAATTGTAAAATATATATTTTTGAGGTTCTCTAGAACATTAGTCAATTGCTACCTGCTATTTTAAAAATACAACTTCTTTCTAGTCACCACCTGGAGTCAGACTGGCAAACCCACGTGAGTGAGAACAAAAATCAGCTCAAGTACCACAGATTAGAACTAGAACCAAGGACAGTTTTTTTGTATTACTGGGTAGAAACCATTTAACTCAAAACCTGAGCAGTGTTGGTACCTGTGGTAGCAATACCATTAACAGCACTGCTCTGTACCCTTCACTGTTTCTAAATGACCAGGCTTTCAGGCCAAGACACTGCTCATCCCAGGGTCTCAGAGCGCTCTAATACCACAGGAGGGCATGGGGAGCAGCTGTGATCGAGGGAATGGAGCAGGTATGGAGCACATATCTGCTTACACTGCCATGGGAACTCCAGCACAAATGTGACACCACAGCAGAGCTGCATCCTTGCTGGTAACGTAGGCACTGAGGGAAAACAATGACACAGGTTTTGGCCCGTGGACAAGGAGTCTGATTCTAGCTGGAGTTACACAACCCATGCTGTGTTGTTGTTGGTTTCATTATTGTGTTGTGTATGTTGATGCATGTGGGACTATTCTATATGTTGCAATCACATTCTGCGCTCATAGAACAGCCTTGATCAATGTTTTAATAGGTGGCATAGAGTCAAAGTAATTTTTACTACTGTTGAAGTTTATTTAAGATTGTGCTGCCAAATATTCCATAATTTAATGCTTCAATCTCCCTTGAGCAAGGTTTTATTTTTTAATTTGTTAGATTGTGAAGGTTTATTTTATTAGTGAGCATTATTTATTGTTCAAACACTGATAAGTCAAAAATTACTCTGAAAATGAAACTGAAGTTTCTAGGAAATTGATTCACAACCGTTGAAGTATAAAATCTAAAAAAATAGTTTGACAAATCTGCTGTGGATGTACAAATTGGAAGAAGGTTACAAGTATTGACACATCCTTAGTGCAGACAGTCTGGCACACTGAACACAGGATGGCCATGCTGTTTGGCTACTTAAAGGCAAACATGTTCTAGCTAGCCCAGTCTCTCTCAATACAAACTTATTTTCACCTTCCCCCACATGATTCAACACTGGGTTTTAAAATAAATGTAAAACACTGAAAAGAGTAACAGGGTAGAATTTTGTCAGATTCTATGCCCGTTCACTCCGTGCTCTTCACTGAGTGTACCTTACAGTGTAATATACATTGACAGTAGAAGTTATATTACTATAAATTGTTGCTCCTGACAGCTGGGAGTGGCACAAACCAAAACTACGCTTACTGCATTACTGTGGCTTTGTTCTTCCAGGAGAGAGCGCTTAATGCATGCAAAGGCTCGGAGACCTACACGCTGCAGAGAGGCACGTGCAATTCAGAGGTGAGTCCGTGGCACTGGAGTCTCCAGAGTACTTCATCAGCTGCTTATTCCTCCTGACAGCCCTTACACTCTGTAATGCAAACACTTGTGCAAAATGTTCCTAGCCAGCATAACTCCATCCAGCAAACCCCACTGCTTTATCTTGCTCCAAGCAGCTCACTCCAACGTTGCTCTTGCAAAACCAACCTCCTCCTCTTAGGGTTTGTTTTGAACCTCTCCTGTTTCAAAAAGGTTTTGGAACAAAAGTTTCCAATAAGATAACTCTTCTCTCTTTTGATCTCTTTCAGATCATCTGTCCACAAAAAAACAACTGTTTAATCAGCAAGAAAATTCCTCTTCTAGTGCCAAGTTTGTCCACTGTTCTACTTGATAGCAGTGCAAATACAGCAGGAAGAGATAATATTGAGATGGGTATGTCAAGTACTACCCCACAGAATGCAACAACCAAAGGTCACTGTCTTGAATTATATTCAGCTCCAGCTGTTACAAGAAAAGGACAAATATTAATAGTTGTTCCATACAGAAATGTACTTTTGAATGTAAAATTGTCCCTTCGCAGAGTAAAGCTGTGCTCTCTACTGGCATCATCTGAAGCATGAGTTCAGTGCAGGAAACCAAAGACACCACAAAGCTTTCCACTTAGATGTATAGATCAAAAAAAAAAAGAAATTTTTTTTTTAGAATACTGAGCTGTAAATGTAGTGCTGCCTTTCTCTCACACTTCTCTCTCAAATATCGCCTGTTGCTTTTGAGAGAACAAGTCCCTTCTGGGAATCACGCTGCTTTTTGCCACCAGGAATAACTGCTCTTTTTTTGTAAAATGCTAAGAAATGGAGATATTTTAAAAAGGCAATGTTGCCAGGAACATATGATTAATTCCTGATAATCTCTGTTCCTATATAGAGAAATTTCTTTACCTTTCCAATGTAGATTTGTCCTAAGTGTTTAAATTTGTGTCACAAAGAGATAGCCTGTATTTCTTATGCCCTCAGGTACAAAAACTGAGACATCAGAAATCAATTCACCTGTAGCAATATCTGCATTTCCAAGCACTTCAGTTCTGATCAATAGCCATCAGACTTATGGACAGAATAAAATGTTACATTACTTGAATAACAAATTCCTACAGACAGCTTGGAAAAGCCAGATGTGTGTAGTAATATATGCCAAAGTTTTCCTAGGAATAATGATGTATTAACAGGAGCCAAAGTAATCTCAAGTCAGTCTTCAGTTCCTGTGTCCTGTAGTGGCTGACATATGTGTAATGTTTTCTTGTTGCTCAATTCAAAAGTCTAATTTTGCTCATCTTAAACTTCTTCTAGGTCACCCAGGCTCTGAGAGAAGAAAATCAAGCTCTTTTTGCACAAATCCTTCATCTGTTTCAGCTGCAGACAAAGAGAGCCGTCAACATAATTCCCCAGCACTGATTCTTCAGCACAGACCACAACCAATGCACCTTGGACAGGCAGTGACAGGTAAGGCACCATTGCCACTTTGAGCTGGCAGTACTTACTTTGGCCAGATCTTAGTGACTCAATTGTTTAAAACTTGGAGGAAACAGATATTTCTAAATTTTGTGCACATTTTCAGGTATTCAGAGTAATAACTGATTCTGACTTGATACAAATGTCTCTCTATTTGTGTATTGCTGCTTCTCTGTTCTCAGAAGTTCAGGTACTGACCACTGAGAACATTGGCTTGTTCTTTTCTTTCAGGGCCACAGTGAGGCTGAGAACAGTTCTGAAAAGACCATAATAAAATACAAAAAAACATAGCACAAATTAAATATTAAATACATTAGTTGTTTAGGTCTGGAATATTCTTTTGCAATCATAAGCTGTGCATTGCCTATGTCTGCAAAAGTAGCTACTGACTACAGAAACAGGTGACGGGACTCTTCATCCCCTGTTCTTCATCCCCTCACATGCAGAACAGAGGCAGAAAGGGTCAGCTTTTGATTTCTGAAGACTCTTTGACTGTGGGTGAAGCTTTGTGAGGTTTTTATGTTAACTTTTTGCAAACTGGCCTATAACAATTCTCAGCCTAGCTGGCTGTCCTTCTCCATGGCAATTTACTTGAGTGATGACATAATTTCTGGATAAATCAACAGACCAGACCATGCAGGAAAAGTTCCTCCCAGAACTCTCCTGGCAACACTCAGAAATCAGAATGACAGAAGCATGCTCTCCAAAGCAACACGACTTTTGGTTATTAATTTTCTCTTGGTGTGTGCTATTTACTGTACACTAAAAACCCTAATGTCAGCACTAGTCACCTCATGAAGAGAGGCAGAGCCCAAAGCTCTCAACCATTTTATCAAGAGTATCACTTTTGGTATTAGTTTGGCTTTGACCTATATTCATTTTCCCAGTTTCATGCTACATGTTTCAAACTTGCCTGCTACCCTGAAGTACCTGTTAGCTGTCCTTCCACCTTTATAGGAGAAAGTTTTCTCATCTGTGTCCAGCCAAGGTGCTTTGCATAAAGTCAAATACAGATGCTAGATGAACAGGACAAGACCTGAAAATCTTCTCCCCTTACACAATCTGAGCACCCAGAAGTTTAGAAACACCTATTTGCTATAATCTGGTCTTTGTGAGTTTCAAACATGAGATGAAAATACTTTTGGACTAGTTTCAAACACAGAATGCAAACAAACTAACTCCTCCTCCTTCCTTCCTCTACTGAGTTTATATTTCTGGTGTTGATGCTATCACTTGCTAACAATTTCTGGATGAATAAAACGCTTGGTTGATCTCATTTTGTTTTCCTTTTCGCTCAAGGTCCTTGCAGCAAAGGAAACTGCTGTCAAATCCTTGCTTGCCAGAGGCAGAGCATACTGAAGTGCATGACAGAGGGACGCCTCAACCACATCCTGGACGTGCTGCGCTCGCGGCAGGCGCTGTCGCGGGTGGATTATGAGAGCATCACCTCCTGCCCCACGGTGACCGGCCGCGCTCGGGCGCTGCTGGACACCTGCCTGTGCCTCGGGGAGAGGGCAGCACAAGCTGTAGTGACTGCCCTGTCAGTGAGCAAATCCTGTCCTCTGGGACAAATCACTCATGCCCAGACTGTCCTTCCAAGGTAAACAGGCTGTTGTTACTGATTTTTTTTCAGTCTGTTTATGCATCTGAACTGTAGTTATTTGTGATGGCAAGGATTCATGTTGGCGTCTCACAACCCATTGACCAAAGGTAATTCTTCCTGCAGCCCATTATTTGAGTACTGTAGTGAAAAAAGCTAACTGGATTAAAAGGTCAAGACAACTGCTGCCAACAGAAATTGCCAAGACTGCTATAACAAATCCTGATTTGGACCTCAGAGATGGGGAAAGTGCAATATGTGCCAGAGCAAACAGGGCTCAAGTGAGATGACACCTTATTTCCTTGATTTTTTTTTTTAGTTTTTTTAGAAGGGAGGAAAATTAATCATGACCTTTTGGAGGTCACAGTATGGAAGAATGGTTATTTATAAATACTTCCAAATAAGGATAGTGAACAACAGAATACTGGAGGAGAAAAAATTTACTGCCTTTCACTGCATTCGTATCTGAGCAAGCTGTTACAGTGAAAGGCTTCAGAGAATCAAGAACTATTTCTTCAGTAAGGCCTTAAGTAAGACTTGGAAGTTTTATATTATGCATATAAATTACTTCCTTTTCCTCACAAATGGTCATATGAAAATACATCAGTACTTTGGAAATGTGGGACTTGGAGTACTCATTAAATGGAGAAACATTAATACTTTACATCCCTGTATCCCTCTAAACATGTCTGCAGCTCAAATGTAAAATGAAACCAGGCAGAAGTGCCAAGCTGATAATTTTGAAGTGGTGGTTCTGCTGAACTGTTGTCATGGTTGTACTCTAATGGGAGACAGCCTGGGATTACTGGGAGGTTTTCTTGTTCTGGCCTGGACTCGCCCACGGTCACAGATTCCTCCTGCTGCTTGAACTCATCCGAAGGGTCATGGACCCCTTTGACTTGAGTTCACATCGAGTTCCCGTCTGTCCAGTACAGCAGCACAGAAATATCAGAATGTTCCCAGGCACAGTGGAGGAAGATAAGTGGTACAACAGGCAGTGAAAACAACCCAGCCACTAACAAGCACCAGACAATTGCGTACAGAAGGCAAACAAGTCCCATGGCAAGCACAGGAGTCTGTCAACAGATCAACAGCAGCTACAAATGTGATCCAGCACATTCCAGTAAAATCTGTTGTTACCTTGAACCCTTCAAGCCTCACGCTGGATGCTAAAAAGAACATTTGTCCCAGCAGACAACTATGCTCCACAACAGTAAAGTGAGAAAACGTGTTGGTTGAGAGCCAGACAATTTAACAGGTAAAGCAAAAGCTGCACACAAGCAAAGGAAAATGTGGAATTAATTCACCACTTGCCAAAGGCAGGCAGGTGTCCAGCCATATTCAGGAAAGCTGGGCTCCATCCCATTAATGGTTACTTAAGAAGACATATGCCCTCACTCCAAATGTCCTCTGCTTCCTCCTCTAGCTGAGCTTGATTTCACATGGCCTGGAGTATCCCTTTGGCCAGCTGTGGTCAGTTGTCCCAGCTCGTCCTCCCCCAGCTCCTTGTGCACCCCCAGCCTCCTCCTTGGTGTGGTGAGGGGCAGAAAGGCCTTGGCTCTGTGTGAGCTCTGCCCAGCAATAACAAAACATCCCTGAATTGTCAATGCTGTTTTCAGTACAAATTCAAAATACAGCCCCATATGAGCTCCTATGGATAAAATTAACTCTATCCCAGCAAAAACCAGCATAATTTGAAAGAGAAGTAATAGGATTACTTTATTCATAATGAAAAGAATGATATAAGGTGCTGGTTTTTTAAAGGCCCAGTGAGGTTTCTTCAAGCTTCATAGCATCAGATTAACATGAGCACTTGTTACACCATCTACAGGTATTTCAAATGCAAAACCATGTTATTTGTTTCACTATGTTGCTTTTGTTCTCTCTGCAGTTTCAAAGTTCTCATAGAATTCAGTTGTTTGGCTGATTGCAAATGCAGTAATGATGTGTTGTCTAGGCACAATTAAGAAATAAGAAATGTGTTACATCAAGATTTCCAGCAACAATACTGCTGGAACCATAAACTTTTTTTTTTTTTAACATAACTTCATTGACCTTTGAGACTTCCTTGAATTAAAATATTGTTATAATTAAAAGCAATGTCTATCAGAATATGTTGACAATATTTTTTAATTAAAGGAGCTAAATATCTATTTCACAGTTGAATTTTTTTTCACTTTAAATAGGAAATTTCAACAGTCTCTGCTAAAAAAGGATGTCTTGCTTGTGAGGAAAGTGCTTCTGAGGAAAACTGCTGCCATGGTGTTTTGCCTTCTTAGAAGCATAAGATACTCAGTAAAAGAGATAAACATTTGCCTGCTGGAAATAGTTACAGACATTTAAAAGATAAATTAGCAATACTGTTGAAACCTAATAGCAGCTTTCAAAATCATTCCCTTTAGTTGTTCTGCTGGATGCTTTATATTCCTGTGAGAGATGTGCTGGCTGGCAGGCTATGCTGAATTTTTGTCATTGTGGTTTTGACACAGGAACAGTTTTGGCTCTTCTCAAGTAGGCAGCTGTTTCTAGAAAATACAATCTGATGCCAAACCTAAGCCCAGTCTTAACTGTTAATAGAAGAACTGGCATCAAAACAGTGGGAGCACAAGCCGTCTGCTTTTCCAGTGTGGTATTTTTGAAGGGATGGTACACGTTCGTTGAAATGAAACTGTTGTTGATATAAAAAGTTTTGCTACCAAACTAAAACACAAACTAGACCCGCAACTAGCAGCCTTTTTTCTCACCAAAAATACATACTCTCCTAAGGCCTATAGTGTGAGCTGTTAAAAACGTCTCATGTTGATCACTGGTGTGAAATATCAAACTGCTGAAAGCTTATGGTATTTTGCTCCTGCCCAAGCTTGTTTGTTAGGCAAGAGTTCTATGGTCCTCACCTCTGTTTTCTGCAGTTATCTTGATATTACAAAACAGTGTAGAATAAATAGCACTGAGCAGGAGTGAAGATAGAAGAATCAAACTGTTCTTTAATATCTACAGGAAGAAACAAGACTTGAATGTGAAGAACAACTGGAGTTGCAGGAAGGAAATATGAAACCTGGGTATCTCTAGAAAACAGCAAGGAAAATAATAAAACTTCAGGACAACTCACTTTAGGACTGATCATATAAACTGATTAGTAAAACTCTGTTGCAGTTACTCAGAAAAGAATTAATAGACATTAAAAATGACAAGCTATACAAATTTTATGAAGCTATTTAAACTTATCAAAGGAAAATTTATTAAAGGAATGGTGAGTAGAGTAGGCAGATGTTTATTTTTCTGATGTATTGAAATGTAATTTTATTCTTGATTGCAATTGGTTACAGCTATCTTTTGCTGATTTGCAAAAAGATTTGCAAAGGGACAGTCGTCCCTTGCCCTTTGTCCTAACTATACCACGCTTTTATCTGAGATGGGATGGTTTCTGCAGTGTAAGAATGTCTGCACTAGAATTTGTTTGATTTGTGGAAAATTAATCTGAGGCGCTGGAATTAAATGTTTAAGAGATTAAGTCCTTCCAGTAGAGAGCAAGGCAAACAAAGCTGTAAATACCACTCAAATGTTGTTACCAGTGCCTGTTAAAAACAGTTCCATAACAAGTGCATATTTATAAAATACTAATCTACAAAATTTCAAAAAATGCATTAATGGATTGCTAACATATACAGATTAATTTTACACCACATAAGCGGTCTAAAATGCACAAAGCCTAAAGCACTAATGAAAACATACCAAACCTCAAAGGTTCTTATTTTATTGTTTCAAGTCTGAATCCTACATAACCTTGTAAAATTCTCATGCTTGCCCAGGCTTGGTCATTTGAGCATCATATGTGAAGATTTTTATGGAAGATTAAGTGCATAAATTAGTACTTGTGGGCCTGGTACGTTAGGGAAGGACCCAAACATGATCAAGACACGCACAGAAAATTTAGATTTCTTTATTGCTGTTTATTGATTTCAGAGCTATACAGCTATTAACTATGCTCTCCTCCAGTAATACATATTGTCTCCAGGATTGCTGGGGTCTTTTATGCCTCAGGAATCTTGCCTTGCACTATATTCCCTTTCATTCTTTTCCTCCACACAGCAGTGCCCAGCCCTCCCCCACTTTGCAAAATACTTTACTGGTGCTCAAAAGACCCTAGCACAATTGGATTTTGTTCCTTTCCTAGAGAAGCAATTCCTTCATTGCCTGCCTGGAACTACATTCCCTTGACGGAGCACATGGTTGACTTGACAGATGGTATGTCAGCTGAGTTAAACAAAACTCCTAGATTTTGAAGGTAAATCCACCATAAATTAAACTACCTGACAAGGCTGAAAAGAACATATTTAATGATTTAACTGGGTTACATTAAATTCAGCACAGCTGCAAGAACCATGTTAATTGTAAGAATTTTGCTTAACCCCACAAAAATGGTAGATCAGAAGCTTAGACTTAACTATTTCCAGCTCTTGTGCTGATGTGATTTGTGGTCAATTTTTTATTTCCTGCCTTTATTTCTCTTTGCCAAGAATACACGTCAAGTAATATTACAGAATTCTGTAGCCTCAAACTGCCATTTTCCTTGGGCTTTAAGAATGACCTTTCTTCTTTCAGAGAAGACATGCATCAGTTAAAGAATTTCCGGACTCCTTCAACTTGGATCAATTAAATGGCAGTAATTTAGAATAAGGACTTGCCCTTTAAAATGTGGTAACATGCCAAAGTATCTCAACACCTATTTCCAACTGCTGTACTTGAACCTTCCACAAAGCAAAAGCAATGTTCATACAAGCAGAAAGCGTGCCTGAATTTTACCCTTTCAGCAGTAACCTGGCTGTACTTTAGAAAGTTCAGTACAGTTAGTTCTTTCTTTAGATACCAAGAAAAAATGTGCCATATTAGTTAACAGAATGACTACTAACATTAAATTTATTGTCCTTTGGCCAAAAAGGGCTCAAAGGTTTTTTTCCAGTTCATTAGAACATTATCTGGTGGGGGGAAAAAATGAGAAAAATTACTAAGGAATGCACCTGGTAAATAGTAAAAAAAAAAAACAATTGTATGAGAATTTTGACCTTGTAACAGCTACAAAATATGTTCCCAAGAAAGCTGTTTTTCTGCCACTTCCATGTGCTATGATAAGCTTGTGACACAGAAGAGCAGGGGGGTGGAAGGAGAGCACGGTGTGCTCACCTGTGTGTGCCAGGCACCAAAGGAGCCCTTCCTTGTTTGCCATTCCCTGCGGGCAGCGCTGTGGCTGCCAGAGAACAATGCTCAGCTCTGAGCATAGACTCAGGAGAATCCAGAAGAGAGGAAAGCTTGATCAGCAGTGAGGAAACCTCAGGTTAGGGACAAGCTGATAAAATTGTGTGTGTTTGGTCTAGCAAACGAGATGAAGGGCACACAAGAGAGTCTGGAATGGAGGCACTGAACATGCAGTAAGGAAACAGAGTACCCGGTGTGTTCTTGTGCTTTGTCCTTCTGAACTGGCTTTCAAGCAGGGGCTTAAAAAAGTTTTAAAGGCCATCATAAAGATAGGCTCCTTCCCTATACCCAGAGAAATGAGCAATATCCATGGAACTTTCTTTTACCTGATTGAGAGTTCTTTAGTTGACAAAATTCATGCAAACAACAGTGATTTACTAAACCTTTTCCTTCAGCCTGTTCAATTTATTTATGCAAGCTATAAAAGCTGAAGTGATTTAAGGGAACAAATAACATGGTTTTGCTTGGAGCTAAATAACATGGATATTTATAGCTGCTCTGTAACTCAATCACTATTTATTCCACTAACACCCACCTGTGAAGGCATGGGTCTGTTATCAAGTCAGCTGTCAGGACAACGGAATAGAGATAACTTGAATTAAAGAGCCCTGGAAATTATTTCTACCCTTTACAGTGTTGCTATGAATTCTTAAAAGAAAAGAAGGATCTCCTTTATTTTTTCTTCTCAGCAGATTGTGGTTGGTCATCTTCTCTCAAATACAATGAAAATGTTTCCATTTTTATTAAAATGCAATCTTTATCCAGCAAGATTTCTGTCCAGTCTATTAAGTGTTGGATGAGAGAGCTACTTCACATTCATGTATTTTCTTCCCTCCTTTCACATGAAGCCACAGGAACAAAAAAGAACCCCTTATGACATACTATGTTAAAATGCAAACGAAGTAACAGGAAAAAAAATAGGTTGTTACTTGTGCTGAACAGGTATGACCTCACACAGAAATTCAATTTTTTTTCTGATAGATTGCCTGTCTTGGACAGGTTTTATTAAACACTGTATGAGACTAAAAGATGTACAGCCAAAGAATAGTTCAACTCAGGGAGGCTTTCTGCAAAACAAGGCATTGCTCTGCTCTCCTCCCTTCTGCTCTGACTCCTGCAGAGCTGGTTCAAATGCAGTCTGGCAACTCTGGCTAAAACCTGTTCTCTCCACTGCAATTGATCATGTACTCGTATTCAAACCCGCAGATTTATTTGTTTACAGAAGACTCTCACTTACATAGAGAATTCATGAAATGAACAAGAGAGGAGAGATTTGGATGCTGTTTTATATTATGCCTTTCAAAACTCAAATTACATTTAATTTTCTGTAACATATATAATAGCATTTTAACTCCTCAGCTGTTGCATTTTGATGTGCTTAGTAAGAATGTTTTCCTGTATTCCATTTACTAGCATATCAATATAGCAATTTAATTAATTCTTAAAATCACAGAAGCATTTAGATTGAAAAGACCTTTAAGATCATTGAGTCTAACTGTAAACCTAACACTGCCAAGTCCACTACATTTTTAGGTGGTCTGAGACTATTTATTTTGGTTTAAATCTTATGGTAACTGTCAGCTTCTTCACCCAAATTAGACCCCATTAGTGAAAGCTGTCCTTTCTTGTTCAGTGTTATGTCCATCCTCAGTAGCAAGAGAAGGAGCACCTGGCCCGTGGCCAGGCCTCTCCTGCTTGTAACAGTGCCAGTGAGCTGTACCAGTCACTGTGCACAGACACAGCTGCAGAGGGAAAGGTGCACTCTGCATTTGAGACTTCAAGATATGCCTGGGCATGTAGACAGGATTTTTCTTGTTTGTTTTTACAGCTGGCTATTTAATCACAGATGTTCTTCTTGGACAAAGGAAGCCTTATTAAGAAACAAAATAAAAGGCAATTTTCAGGATTTCACAGGTGTAATTTTACTGTATGCTAGACATTGGATTTAACTCCAACAGCATGCAATGTAGCTGCCTCCCAATTGTTTCAGTACAACCACTTAATCTAAAGCTTTGGGTTTTGTTTTAATGACACAACGTCATGGTTATCTACAATGAATGTCATTCTAGCATAGAACAATCCAAAACAACACTTTCCCTAATTATACAACACTTCAGTAATAAATTTTGTCCTTTGTAGTAAGGACAAACACAGAGTTGTTTGTGTAGTGTGACACTGAGCGACCTACATGACCGATGTGCAGGGTGAGGACACTTGCAGGACTCCAGCCATAAGATTTGTTGCATGAGATGACACTGATGACACATCTTAACAAATAACTCGCCATCTCCTATAGCTTCCACATAAACTGAGGTCTTCCACGTTTTCCCATACTAGTGACAGTGAGGTAAAAATAACTGCCTGACCTCCAGAGTGCAATGTGACACACCAGGTTTAGTTTCCTTTATCCTCCTACCTAAGCTCTAACAGTAAAGCCCAAGTGTTTGCTCTCACTTCAGTCTTCCAGACTCATGTAAAAGTAGAGATAACAATGTCATCAATGTCACCAATAAGTGATCATGTGTCATTAAATCAATGTTACTGGTATTCGGAATGTTCATAGCCTGTGGGATTTCAACTGAGAAAAAACAGTACTAAAAAACATAGCAGTAAACTTTAACAAAAGTAAATACTTTCTTCTGGAACTAAAGTATACCTGTAAGTCACTGAAGCACAGCTTTCAGTGTTTTCAAAAGTTTGATTTATGGCACTTCACGGTATGTGACTGGGAATCTGAAAAGGCTTTTCATAGTTCTGGGGATCTTGCATAACTTGAGAAACTCTTGGTAGCTCCTAATTAGTCCACTACGATTTGCTCTGTGGGACACTGTACACATCAAGTAATCAAGAGCCAAGTGGGGAACAAAGGAGCAAAGTGCAAAACACTTACAAATAGCCTGTTGAGAAATCATTTCTGAAAAGTTAGCAAAGTCAACCATAATTTTTATTTCAGGGCTGGATGCCTTCTAATAATAGCAATGAATGGATTTGAAATTGGAACAACTATGTTGGCAGACAAAAGACTAATAAATCCATTAATAGGGCTATCCTATTTACTGCAAAGCCAAATGGACTGGCAATAAATCCCTACTCTTAAAGATTATTTTAGCATTAAGATATTTTACATCTCAGTTCTTAAGGTGCACTTTTAAATAGTGAGACATTCTGAAAATCTTGCTCATGGAACATGGAGTCTTGGGCAAGAACTTGAGTGAAAACTTCCAAGGTGTTCTAATGTTATATTTGTGAAACAACGTGGTTTTCTTTCTTTTACAAAGCATGCTAATTAGACCTTGTCACTCTTACCACAAGTACGCTAGTCTGTTCCCCTTAGAGGCAAAAGAATGAGATCAACATGCATTGGCATATTTGATTAGCACACACTGTGTAGAATCTACGTAGAAAGGTCTTTGAGATTATTTTTTGGAAAACTTTCCTTTTAAAGGCAACCTAAATTTGGATCAAATGCAACTACAGAATCCCCCAGAAGTCTGAAAATTTAGGGAATAAAGGCTGTCCTTACTTCTGTTCATCCAACAACTGTTCCTACACTGTAAAGTATTGCATTATTTTAAGTTCTCTAAATAAAATAGCAGAGAACTTTAATTAAAGGTTCAAGTTTATTTGTATTGTACAAACATTTCAGGGTAATTCAGTAATTAAGAGAAAAGTAACAGGAGTCCACTAAAAACAAAGATGGAAGAGTGGGATCAGCACTGATGGGTTTGTACTGTAATATGCTGCATTCAAAGTGGCTCTGCTAAGGAACATCTGTCTGTATTTAAATGGCAAAGTTTGGACTCAGCATGATAATACAAACAAAATGATGACATTGGCTTCAGCCTCTAGTAACCTGCTGCTTGCAAACACAGTGTCAATGTAACTACTGCTGAGTATGATCAGGAACTCAGAACACTCCTGCTTTTAATCAGAGAGAGAGAGACAGGTACCACAAGTATATCAACAAAGGACTGACAATAATACAGGGGAATCTATAACAGAGAGGAACTTTACTGTTGTGAAGAAAGTCTGAGCAGTTGTATTAGAAGGCCAGAGTTACTTAAGATAAAAGAAAAACCCAACCCAACAGATGTCTTTAAAACTGTCTCATCCAGAAGAAATTTATTTAAATGCTGTTGAACTCTGTTACAAGCATTCTAACTAAGGACTTCATATTCTTCAATCATAGTATCCACATGCTAATTTGGGACCTGAAACAAGAAAGAAAAAAAATATTTATCCTTAAGTTGCTATTTTTTACAGCTACAAATCCTCCTTAGTTTGTTTTTATACATAATCACTTTTAATAGCCTTCAAATTAGACATGGACAAAGAGCATTATCTTTAAAAATCCCTGCAGTGTTATAAGAATTGTGAAACAATGATTCTAACTCCCATGTTATTTTCCAGGAAAACAAAGACTGTGATTCATTCACTCTTATTAATAAATAGCCAGATGCTCATGAAGTTAATTCAACAAAGATAAGACAATTTGTACAATCAAAGGGTAGAGTCTCAAAGCTGAATGATTTAGTTGTCTAAAGCATTAAGTCAAACCATCTGTTTTAAAACAAATATATGTACAAGGGACTATTTTTTCCAAATAAATTCCCAAAATAGACTGGGAAAAACTTTACATATTGCACATTCTCCTTTTAATAGAGATTACATGAGCAAAAGAAATGTAAAATTAAAATACAAAGTTTGCAACATTAATCCAAATAGTGATAAAAAAGTCCTAGAGACCTTTAAAGTTTACCTGAAGATGGAGATATTTTTGCTGGGTTTTTTTTTGTTTTGTTTTTGTTTTTGTTTTTTTTTTGCCCTCCTAGCAAAGTTAACATTTGAAAACTGGTCTATGTTTTAGGAGATATCTACTCCCACTTCTGCTTTGCACTGAACAAAACCAGCTTGCAATAATGTGCAACAAAGATATGTGCAAGCAAATAATAAATTTTGATGAGAATAGATAAGGCAGTGAAAAGAAAAAGGTACCCGAAAGGCAACAGAACTAGATAGGACAAATAAAATTAAAATATGAGATATCAAAGCTTATTTTAAGTCTGTTTTAAAAAACTTCAGTACAGAGAAGCTACGTTTTCCATAAAAGAGGGACTAATGTTAATCTTCAGAGTATTAAACAACTGCAGTTGGACAAGACAGAGACATCTCACTGTTTCTGTTCCTTAAAGGGATATTTTCTACCACCTCATCCTCTGCTTCTGGCTTACTCCATGTTTGTACTTCTGTGATTTTGATAGTAAAAGCCCTACCTTCATAAAAGTACAGTTTTCTGCCGCTTAGTGAGCTTACAGAGAGGGCTGGGCAAGTGCCAGCACCAGTCAAATGCTGAAGGCCACTGGAGTAGGAGACATGCAGCTAGGAGCAGGGGAAGGTAAATACAGAAGCCTAAATTTAGACCTTTTCCTTTAATTGCACAGCACTTTGGTGTTTATAGTGACTCTCATCTGTAAGTCAGACTCACCCTGCTTAAACCAGCTACTGAAGAAATTTGTGTGATAGAAAGAGGAAGGTAAAAAGAAAGGGTCACTGAATTTGTTTTTGTAAACAAAGTCACTCAGCTTTAACCAAAGAAAAGAAACAGGTGCACTTACATTTATTTTTTAACTGATTCTGTTTCATGAAATACGTGGTTGATATTGTGTTTGATTTTGAAATCATTAAGGTTGAAAAACTAACAGAAAAATAATGTCTGCTTTTAAGTACTTATAAAAATTGTCATTTGCTGGGCTCTGGCTAAACTCCCAGATTTACTGTCCTGAGTAATTTCATGACCCTTGTGAATAACTCTGTGTCCACAGAATGTACATTTCAACATCAGAGTAGTCCCAGGAGTCACTCTGTATGGTAGAATTTCAAAAGGAACCAGCATAAACCATCAAACACATGGCTGGAAGCAATATTTCCACCATGAGCTCCGAGCTCCAATGAGTACTACTCACATTTACACAGCATCCCTTCAGTGCTGACCCTTAAGGAGCTCAGGATACGCTCATTCTTCTATTAATTAAGTGCATGAGCAACACATTCTTGGAGGACTTATGCTGTAAGGATATGCTTAAACTCACCAGAATGAACTTGTGAACAAGCACAATGCTGATGTATAAGGTTCCAAATTCACTCAGATTTAATAGCAATTTTTACCTTGGTTTTGTTTAATGTTCTAAAACCATTTAATGAATATTGTGTGGATTTGGTTTCCCATAATCTGATGCTATTTCAATTTGGTTTGTTCAGGGGTATTTAATTGGTTTATTCTTCAAGCTTTTGAAGAATTCAAGCTTTTGAAGTTGAATTACATTTTCTAAGAGGCATCTAGTGGCAATATTAGTCAGACACAAAAAAGCAGATAGGGCAAAACTTAACAAAAACTCAGTCTGACTTTGTCCTCATTAGCTGAAGAAGATAAGATCTTAACTTGATTGAATTAGTACCAGATAAAACCCTAGAAACCAAATGTTTTTTAGCTGTTTTTTGTATGCTAGCACTTAGAGAATACACACTCCTGTATAAACATAACTTACCAGTGGCCATTTATGGAGCATCAGGGATGAGGCACACAATTTATGTAATCTGCAACAAGAGAAGAAATAATGGAGTCATTTACATTTTGCTTCCATAGTAAAATGGGTAAAGTAATTTATAAAATGAGAACCTTGCCAAAATGAACAAAAATATCTATCTGGATGATTATTCTGAGGTTTGCTTCTGCTCACATGCAAACATTTCAGAAGCATTGTCTAGCCTTATGATGCTGTCCTAACTTGGATCTCTCATACCAACCTCTACAGACTTGTAAGTTCTCATAATTGGTGAACTTCTGTTTTTGAAACCCTCAAATGGGCACTTTTTCAAAAAAATATTTTTCAAAGTTATAAAGTAAAATGTCATTCTCTATACTTCCAGTATATGCCTAATAATTTGTTTCCTATGCCTTGTCAGTTCTCATCTATTTCTCGTTTCTAAAGCCAATTTTATAATTAGCTCACATTTTATAAGTCCATTTTTTTGAGGAGTGAATGCTGTCTTACAGTAGATTCAATCATGGGAGCACTTAAAATGCAGTCAAGCAACAACTGAAATCAGCTGCATCTTTTACATTCACACTCAATCCACCTTTTGATTAACGTGTGAGACGACTGCTGCAAATAGCCATCTACCCAAAAATCCTGCACTACAGAACACAGGGCACTAGTACATTTGTAGAATCACTAAGCACTATTACCATCAAATGACTGCTTTCTGGTTCATATTGTCTTTGTAACAACAACTGGTTTCATATTGTAAGGATTTGATTATATTCTGGAGATGTCATCTATGTTTTTATCTTCTGTCAGGGCTGTGTAAGTGGCTTAAAAACAAAGAAGTAGCCTATCAGGGCTGTTAAGATCCCAGAAGGCAGCAGACTGGTTTTGTTTGCTGCTTTGCAACACTGTCAGCAGCTTTAGCAGGTAATAGATTTAGAATAGTTTGTATTTGACAAAAGCCAAACAAAGAGTTGAGACAAACATAATTAAAGAGATGAGATGATCAGGCTCCTGCAAATGGGAGTTTTTTTTGCTATGGTGCTTTATGGTTTAGAAATAAGGTCTAATAATATTATCTTCTTTGTGTGCACTTAAAAAGCCAACTTTTAATACCCCCCCCCCCTTAATTCATTTTTAACCAAACACAGTGTAATGAATATCTGGAGATATAGATGAGTGCAGCAGTTGCTTGGTAGCCTGGTTGTCTCTGAGACAACGAAGGAAAACAACTCCTTGATGAAACACACAAACTTTTGAGAGAAGAAGCAGAATGGAAATCAGAAATGTAAGCCTTGTGGCAATAAAATTGGACTCCACTCTTGCATTTACTAGCACATTTATGCACAGTTTTCCTTTCCCTCTTCTTTTACAGCCTTATAATTTTTATTTGGCCCCAAGAATTTTACTCTCTTGAAAAACTTCATGTCTTACTTATATGTGTCAGATGGCAGATAACAAGTGCGGATCAGGGAAGGGAGGAGTAATTAAATTATTTAGAGTGGGACTACCCTGTCTCCTGAGCCCTGTTGTCTTTCCAGGCACTGACCATCCCTTTGCCTTGCAGGGAGCAGCAAACAGGTAACAAAAGAACATTAAGAGGGGTCTGTGGCCTGGGGTTTACTGGCTTAGACAGGGTAAAACTACTAATCTGCTGGTGGAAGACAAGAAAGCTTTCTTTACACCCCGGATAAATCTGCTGAATGGCCAGTTCCTTGCTATTATAATCAGGCACTATGGGTCACTTTTTATCATCATCCTGAGAAGCCCATTACTGTTTTAACAAAGCCAAATTTTGGGTGTGGCTATGTCCCTCTTGGAGGCTGGAACACACCGATGGTACCGTTTTATTTCCATTTCCATATCCACTATGACTGCCGCATAGGACCTATGCAATAGAAACCCAAAATACCATCAGATTTTAGGGTTCCCACCCTCTCAGCCCCCTCAGCCTCAAGCGTGAGGGTCTCTCAGGCGGTGTAACTCATGCGGGTGGAGCTCATGTGGATATAACTTCGGGCAGCGTCCGCCGGGGCTCCGCGAGAGCTCCGCGTCCCCGAGGCCCTCAGGGACGGCGGGGTGAGGGCCCCCGGGCCGGGCTGGCAGCGGCGCCGTGCGTACCGTTAGCGCTGGGGCTCCTCTCCATCCTGCCCCCGCGGGGAACCGGGAGGCTGGTCCCCCGCTCCGGCGGCGGCGGGGGAGGCGATCGCGGCTCTCCTCAGCCGCCGGTAACGGAGGGGCTGACGCGCACCCCGCGGGGCGGGGGGCAGCTCCGGCCCTGCGAACACTTCCCTGCGCACCAGCGGGTACCGGGGGGTGCCGCGCAACCCCTGCGGCGCTGGTGGGCCCCTTGCGGCTTCTCCCTCGGGGAGACCGCGCGGAAGGTAGCGGATTTCTGCCGCGGAAGGGCGAGGAGGCGGTGACGGAGGCGGTGATGCCGGGCCGGCGCGGCGGGGAGGCGGCGACGGCGATGCCGGCGTGGGGGGGCGGGGTTGAGGGGCCGCCATCGCGTCTCGGGTGGCAACGGGTGGACAGCATCCCGAGACAGCTCCGCGGGAGCGGCGGTAACGCGGTACGGCCGGCGCAGCCCGGGTGGGGTTTCGGCTTCCTTTCCCGCTTTCCTTCAGCTCCCTTCACCTAGAGGGAGCGGCCTCGGTGCAGAGGCTGCGGCGGCAGCGCCTTGCCCTGCGGAGCATCTGGGGCGGCGGCTTTGGCGACCCGCGCTGCCGCAAGTGTGCGGTGGTGGGAAGATTAACGTCGTGTGCTTTTCTGTATTGTCTTTGAAGGGCGCTCCGGCTCTGACAGCCCCCGCCTGAGGCGGCTGCCTGCAGCTACTTCCTTGGCGGGGCGGTGTGAACCTCGCTTATTTTATGAGGAGAAAGAGGGTCACCGCCGCCTGCGGGGAGCGGAGCGGGCTCTGGGAGTAGAAGTGGCACCTCTGCCGTGCCCCTCCTGCGGCGGGACCCTCCGGCGCTCAGGCCCGCGGCCGCAGCCCCCGGGGTCACGCTCATGGCGACTCGAGGGTGGCTTTGTGAAGCCACGTGTTCCTCGTGGCGGAGGGTGCGGACAATTCTTGCTGCTCTGGCAGCGAGCTGGGGCCGGGCACTGAAGGGGGCTCAGCGGGACCCTCGGGCCAGCGCACCTATCTCGCTGGTCTGGTTTAGTAGTGATTTGATGGGTTTATGTGTTTTTAAATGAAGCGTATTATCTCGGATGTGATAAGGTGCGGCTGTAAGTGCCGCCTAAGGAGTACACATGGGTGTAGCATGTGCCATTTTAGCATTAATTTTCCTCCTTTGAAGATGCTTCTGCTTTTCTTCCTCAGCATGAGAAATAAGATGATAAACTTTATGATTGTTGCTTCTGTCTTTACCTGTATACATTTCACCAGATGTTCCTCTCACTGCAGCAACTTTGTGTGCTCCCAGCCTAAAGCAAGACTGATCAAAGTCCCTGTTGTGAGCTTACTTCTATTTTTTAACTTGGAAATATGAAAATAACTAAAAATACAAAAAATACAAAAATGTTACTTACGACCATACTGATAACCTATCAAGTGAAGAAACGGTCATAGTTCTTTTATACTTTTTTTTCCATACTTCTCTTTCATACTTTTTTACATGATAAATATACCTTGTACTTTTTTTTTTTTTTTAAACAGGTGTTACAACCAATTCTATCTGATCAAAATTTTGTTGGTAGGATTTATTTTCTATTGTGCTAAAGATGGTGTATTTATATATGCAAGCACAAAAGACTTGGTTGAGCAGATTAGATCTTTACAGTGGGAATTGTTTTTTTTTGCTCGGGGTTCCTGTCTGTTAAGCATATATGGCAGGGCAATGATTCTTCTCTCATTAGAAAAGCATATCCTAGACAAAATCTAAGCCTTTCCCATGTAAATGTTCAACCTATGAGGTGCCTAAATATATACATTACAATGAATAAGCATTTCTGGACTTTGCCCTGTTGGTGCTTAACTCCCTGAAGTGATGCTGTTTGATTGTATAGAGCAATCTTAAATATTGCTCATAGGGCCAGTCATTGTGTTCAGAAATAGGAGTTCACACACACATCTGGTTGTGAACAGCCAAAGTGTGTATGTAAAGCTGTGCTGCTACAATGAGAGTTGTTTTATGCAATCAAGAGCTAAGGAAGACAGAAGCAAGAGCATCAGAGACCTTTGCTAATGAGCAAGTATCGTATAAAAGCACAGCAAACACAGCTTTTAGCAGTTTGGTACTTCACCTTGGTCATTTAATAACTTGCAGGTTCATCCCAGGTCGAACAACTGACTCAGTGGGAGAAAGGGGATCTTAGCAGATGGTTCCTTTTTCCCTCCCGTTAAAGGAGGGACACCCTGTAATGCAGTGTTAGTACATTGCTAATTGCATGTTAACCTTCATCAGCCCCTCTGGTACCTGGCTGCAGTGTGATAGGCCTTACCAGAAGATACATTTTTGCTGAAACACTGAAGTGATCCTAGTTTCAGGTCACTTGTTCCTGGTTTCATATCATAGCTTTCTGTACCCACACCAGAATCATTTCAGTTAAAAAAAAAATCTACATATATCAGCAAAAAGATTCCTCACAGCTGCAGTGATCAGCAGAAAAAAAAAAAGAGTTGAAGACGCTGTGTTGCACAAGGGTGAGCGATGAGGAAATCCACGTGTTGGTTAGCTTGTGTGGAGGCAAAACCCTGCATTAGCCATAGCACTCCTGTGGTCAGGCTTTGGCAGCGTTGGAGATTGTTCTGAAAGTATTTTTAGCTGCAGTATTTTAGGATTATTGTATTTTAGAAAATGTATACTATTTGTCTCTGGTTCTCCTCCTCCAAACCTCTTTTCTGTTTCCACTGAAATAGTGATCTCATGACAGAATCATGGATTTTAATATATGTATTTTTTTCTCTGACATAGCTTCAGTTTTCTCTAGTCTCTGCTTTCCCTCTTTCTTGATAAGTTTTTCCAGTTGGTCAAAGCTGCAGATTCTGATTCCACTTAAGATTAAGTGGAGTACTTGAGAGAAAAAAACCTGCCAACAGTTTTGATTTTGTCAGAGGTGGTATAATGCATCACATTGCTTGTCACTCAGGCAAATAAGCAATTCCTGCCCTGACGGCTTTAAAAGGCATACAAAACAAACAAGACGAGGGAAGAGACTGAAGTATCAAATCTTCATTGATCTGTTGTACGCACCTTCAAGCAAATCCTAGTTGCTGGTAGATTCCCAAAACTGGGAATAACAAAAGCAGGCTTGGAGGGGAAGAAGGAGAATTGGGGGACAAAAGAGTCTAGGTTGAGAGATAGTGTGATTGTTCTTTCTTGGGTGGAGATAGTAGGGCAAGAAGCAGTCAAGGTCATAGCTAACAAAACTGTATAGAACTGCAGTCACATGCTGCTAATTGAGGTGACAGGGTTTGTAGTTGCGGGTAATTAAATGCACCTCTGAACTCCAGATCATGAGGTAAAAAAATCTTGGTCACTCTCTGTTCCAAACTGGCTCTGCGTTAAGACACCAGGTTTGATGTGATTTGAATTATTCAATTGACTTAAATCATAAAAATGCCTGAGTATTCCAAGTAATGTGTAAGCTTCTCATACATGTGTGTGCTTTGGAAGGTGTTCAGGAAGAAATGGGAATAATGATTAGGATATGTAAGTAAGAAATCCTAAATCTGTGTAGTTACCACCAAAATGGTGTTTTACATTCATGATCAGTTCTTAACATATTTATATCGTTTTGTCCTTTTGCTGTAAGGGCTGAAAATGAACATGGCACGCTTTCAAATGGTATTTGGATGTCATAATACTAGCTGTAGTATTCTTGTTTTTTCTCCTGATGTTTGTTCAGCAGAAATGTGAATTGCCTTCTAAAAAACATTTGCAACTAGTGTCCTATCCCAAGTTTTTTCATGGAAAAGACACAGTTTAGAGTTGAATTATATTTTTATGAGTCACAAGTGTTCTTTTAAATCCACTTCTTACAGCCAAATTAGTAATGAAAACATCTGCTTTGATTATTTTTTCTGCTATTTTGCAGAGCTTTCTGATTATTGCATCATATCGATAATTGAGTAAAAATTATATGCATTTACAGATAATAACTTCCTCTTGCAAAGCAGACAAATAATCTTGTGAATTTATAGAGCACGTGTATTTTTGAAAACTTTACTACACCACTAATGGAAAGTCAGGTGGTAAGTGGTTGCAAATGAATTTGGCACAAGATAGATGGAAGAATAAATAACAAGAGAAACACAACTGGTGTGATCAATTTACTTTGGTTTTCCTTTGCAGTTTTGCTGTACTTATCTGAAACTGTGGGGATGCCTCTCTTGTAGTTAATTTTGTTGGAGGTGCCTCATTATAATACTCAAGCTTTTTAGTTCTGAAATGGCAGTGATTAGTTTCTGGAAGTTTAAAAAATTTTTGTTTGATTTTAAGTGTGAAATTTGATGTCTTCTGATGTATCTGTGATACTAGATGTTAACTCATATAAATGATAAAATGTATATTTAGTAATTAAGCATCTTTGAAGTGTTTATTTGGAGTATTGAGGGGACGATAGAAGAGGAGTATTCTCTCCAGAAAGGTGTGCCTACAGGAGCTTGTATGTTCATATGTTACTAGATGCACATGTAGTTTGGGTGACTGCATGTTGACATTTCAAAATTCCCATATTCAGGTTTTGCTTTATTCTAATTGACCCAGATTTTATTTTTTTTTTCTATTTTATATTAAATAGCTGAAGTGTTAAACACTAAAGGTTTAATCAGGGGCAGGGCAAATGAGTAGTTATGAAAATAATTCTGGTAGATATGTAGGCCTGGTTTTTTATGCAACTAATAAGCTAGTGATCTTAAACTTTTGTAAAATAGTCTAATGGGTCTCATTCAGAATTATCCATGTCTTCTTGAGCTGAGAGATTTTATTAGCAGTAACTTGCTTTTGGAAGGCATGGGAGCATTTTCTGGAGACTTCAGAAGAAGGTGGCTCTTTTCCGGTCAGTCAGTTCTGAAGCAGAGGAAAAAATTAATTTCTGTGTCCTTAGATACTGTTAAATACAACTGCTAATGGAGGAATTTGGATTGAAACTACTGTGGGTTTTTGTGTACAGGCTGTACTTTTAGATAACTGAGTACAGAGGCAGTGAGATGGGGATAAAGAGTTCTGGGGAGGGAGCGAAGAGCTGTGGTGTCAGAAGTCAAGGGTTTAGTCAAGGGCGGTGTGGAGTGAGTTCCTCTGCCTGTGGCCCTCAGCAAGAGCCCTCAGTGCATTGATAACATGAGGGCTTATTACTGGATAATATGTTACTAGTTCACTCATAAATTACCTGTGTAAGCACAGTAATTGGATTGGGATTTTTAGTATTGCAGTACGTCTATGTTCATGTTTAGAACTTCCACCTTGGTCTCATGGTGCTTCCTTATCTCTGACCTACTTTCTGGTTTTTCTTCCGGTCTTCTCAAGATAGGAGTCCTTTAATTCTGTCCTTCCTACAGTTTTGTTTGTTTGTTTTCCTGATGGTAGCAGTTC